CTGGAGAATCAGCGGGCCCGGAACACAGTTGAGGAGGACAAAGAGTTGTACCCTGAAGCATTTTTGGAGCACTTTGGCCCAGGTGTATTACTATTCGGCGAGAGTGGACTGCGGGGTCGAGACACCTCTTTCACCTCCGGAGCAACGAGCAGCTGAGCCGTGTCTCCGTGGACCCCTCCCAAGCCTTGGGATAGAGGGATGCTCTGTCTTATTAAAGAAGCAGGTGCACTCCACTCGAGAGCCCCACTAGCGAGCCCCGCGGAAGAGGAGCCAGGGAGGGTGTTGCCAAGATACACCCTGGGACGTGAGGGCCACGTAGCTGAGAGGAGGGAGCCAGGGGGCACTGGTGTGTGTGTGTGTAGGGGGAGTTACTGTTTCTACCACAGACTTGAAACATGTAGGGGGGCGCGTGCCAGGCGCCAACCTCCCCTCATCACACCATGAGCACCCATCCTCTGAATGTTCAGGAGAGTGTCTCTCATTGGCTACTGCAGTCGATTGTGTTTGACTGGCCAATGGGGAAGGCCCGCCGTGGGAGAGGGCCATACAGGGCATACGGGAAGGGGGGAAAGCTAGTGGTGGCAGCTCCAGCAAAAGGGGACTTTGTTACTGGGGCTAACCATTCCAGGCCCAGGTGGTGGGATCTTGGGCAAGGCATAAACCTCAGAATGTCTTGCATTCCCGAGCCCTCCATACGATCTTAAACCCTCCCAGAATGGTGGAGTTTCAAAAGGAATTGGAAACCCCTAGGAGTGTTCACCCCTCTGCAACTGAATGTAGAAAAAGTGGTTGGGTCTAATTTGCCAGAAGCCTAGATTATGCTTGGAAGATGATAAATGAACAGTACTTTCTCACGGTTTTAGGGGGCAGCTTCCCAAATCTTACTAAGCATTACACATCATGGTCAAGACCAGTAGACTCTCTCTTGAAAGTGATTTGCAGGTTCAGAATTTGTTTGCAATAACTTTACTGAGGAACAATTTACGTACAATAAAGTGCACCCCTTCTGTGTTTGCTTTTAAGACTTTATCCATCCTCCAACATATTTCTGAGGAATAACATCGACATATACCAATAGCACGTACATAAGAGTTATTTGCTAATGTCATCAAGGCCAGGGATTCCAGCAGCACACTGGAGCTGCCTTCTTATTTGTGTGTGAGGCAGAGCTGCAGAAAAGAGGAACGTGACTAAATCCATCCCTGCTATGAGAAAAACAATTCCGTGCATCAGTAATAGATCTGAAAGCAAGTTGGAATGCAGCTGCTCAGTCAAGTCCAAGTTACACGAAGTGGCTTGGAAAATGGAGTCTCCTAGTTAATAAGCTTTTTAGTTGAGTTAGCAGATATATTTATAGCTAACTCTTTTAGCATATATGTGGGTCACCCATTTCTAAAACCCTAGATTATGCTATTCAATATTAAAACCATATTGAGAAGGATTTAATCTTAGTTGGTTAAACCAAGGCCATCATTATGAATATCAATTCCCATTGTGTAGTGTGAATAGCACTCATCTTGGAGTGCTTTTTTTTTTTTTTTGGATTGGCTGATGTTTAGGTGATAGTTTTCAGCCTCATTCCTCTCTATTTGAAACTAAATCTGGTGATCATTATCTACAGAAGAGTAGCTATTAAAAGGTGGGGGACGTGCTCTGGTTCAGTGGGTCAGTTGGTTGGAGCATCATCGTGTACACCAAAATGCTGTGGGTTTCAGCTCTGGTCAGGGCACATATGGGAGGCAATCAGTTGATGTTTCTCTCTCACATCAGTGTTTTTCTCTCTCCCTTACTCTCACTCTAAAATCAATAAACATATCCTTGGATGAGGATTTTTTAAAAGAGAGGGAGGTAACTACTAATTGGGCATATCCAATAGGTAGAGTAGAAAGAAGCTTTGCCAAATCACAGCCAGAATTAATGCTAAATCTCTGAGGGGTATAAAATAGTATCCACATAATAAGATTATTTAGATGTATGCTTCCAGTAAAAACTTGTCACTGAGTCTGAGAGTTCATATTATATTTATAGGGTAGAAACATTAATTTCTGGAAATGTGGTATCTCAAAATGTGCTCCGTGCCCTAATAAAAAGTGTTTTCTATCTCTGTGGGTTGAGATTTTGGGGGGAACTTCCACTTATATTTCTGGAGTTAATTTGATATGTATATATTGCTTTTGCAAAAAAACCCACAGTGAAATACAATTTTAAATTAAAAAGACAAGAAAACTACCTCATTGCACAAATCAAAAGTGCTACACAATGCCTTTTTTTGTTAACCGTGTATCATTAAATGATTGTCTTTCAAATACACCTGGTTGTTTTCATAGGTACCTTATCATCACAATTTGATAGTATTTTCCAAAGCTTCTTTCACCAACAGATATGATTAACTTTTATTTAATCAATCCATGTTTATTATTGGCTTTCAAAAATAGTAATAGCAATATGTGTAAGGTTTTTGAGATATTAAATAAATATGAATAATTTCACCTTATTGTGGAATTGATATTTTCAATATTTATCCCCCAAAGCAGCCCTAGGTAAAAAGCTGCCTATTGCCTGCACTTCTGAACCTTATTCTTTAAAAAAAAATGTTTTATTTATTTATTTATTTTAGAGAGAGGGGAAAGAAGGGAGAAAGAAAGGGAAACATCAATGTGAGAGAGAAATATCAATTGGTTGCCTCTCTTACTTGTACCTGTCCCATCCAGGGACAGAACCCACAACCCAGGCATGTGCCCTGACTGGGAATCAAACTCATGACCCTTTGCTTTCCAGTATAACACCCAACTAACTGAGCCACATTGGTTAGGGCTCTGAACAGTATTCTTTTTAAAAAATTTAAATAATTTATTGTTTATGCTATTATAGTTACCCCGATTTTCCTCCTTTGCCTCCCTCCACCCAGCCCATCCCCCACTCCCTCAGGCAACCCCCACACCATTGTCCATGTCCATGAGTCATTCATATACATTCTTTGACTAACCCCTTCACCTTCTTTCAACCACCTCTCCTCTCCCCTCTTACAGCTGTCAGTCTGTTCCATGTTTCCATGTCTCTGCTTGTATTTTGATCATTAGTTTATTTTGTTCATTAGGTTCCACTTATAGTTCAGCTCATATGGTATCTGTCTTTCACCAACTCGCTTATTTCACTTAGCATAATACTCTCCAGTTCCACCCGTGCTGTTGCAAAAGGTAGGAATTCCTTCTTTTTTTACTGCTGCACAGTATGCCATTGTGTAAATGTGCCAGTTTTTTTTTTTTTGATCCACTCATCTACTGATGGGCACTTAAGCTGTTTCCAAATCTTGGCTATTGTAAATACTGCTGCTATGAACATAGGGGTGTATATAGCCTTTTGAATTGGTGTTTTGGGATTCTTAGGATATATTCCTAGTAGTGGAATCACTAGGTCAAAAGGCGGTTCTATTTTTAATTTTTTGTGGAAATTCCATACTGCACCAATGGCTGCATGGGTCTACATTCCCAACAACAATGCACTAGGGTTCCCTTTTCCCCACATCCTCACCAGCACTTGTTGTTTGCTGATTTATTAATGACGGCCATTTTGGCAGGTGTGAGCTGGTATCTCATTGTGGGGGGGTTGTGATTATTTTGAAATTTTATTTTATTTTAATTGTTCAACTACCGTTTTCTGCCTTTTACCCCATCCCAGTCTCATTGTGTTTTTAATTTGCATCCCTCTGATGGCTAGTAATAAACTTTATTCTTAATGAGTAAGGGAACCCTGGGTAATTTTCACCTCAGTAAAGACAGTTTCCGGAGTTAAACATCAGCCAGGGCAAATGTCTCTATTTTTCATTACATGGCTGGATACCTTCTGGATCTTGTACCTTGTCTCCCCAACTAGACAGTGACCACATCCTATACTTTTCATAACCCAAGGGCCTCCCTTCATAGTATAGGCCAAGTGGCAAGTGCTCAATAAATACATGTTAAATTAGCCCTGGTTGGTGTGGCTCAGTGGCTTGAGTGATGGCCTGTGAACCAAGGCATAGCCAGTTCGATTCCCAGTCGGAGCACATCCCTGGGTTGTGGCCAGGTCCCCAGAAGTGGAAGAGTGAGAGGCAACCACACATTGATGCCCCCCCTCCCTCTCTCTCTCTCTCCCTTCCCTTCTCTAGAAAAATAAAATCTTTTTTAAAACCCTTTAAAAATAGTTGTTAAATTAATATGTAACCCAAAACTTTGAGAAAAGGCATATGTTTTGCATACGGCCAAAATTTAATTTCCAATTTGGCTTACAGTCGAAACACCTATTTATACTCAGCCCCACACTCGACTCCTCCCACAACTCCGAAAGTCCTGTTTAGTATTTATCTCACAGAAAGTCTATGAAGCAGGAACGCTTTTTGCCAGCATCCTCCTCTCAAGCACGTAAGATTAATAGCAGGATCCTATCCACAGCCCTTCATACAGCATCTAGGAATCAGAATTGCACAATGTAAAAGCGATATGGGAAAACAGAGCACGGAATGAATGCTTGCCCCGGAAACAGAGGTTGGGTGGCAAAGTGCCTGTAATTTGTAAAGGACGAAAGTCCAATCTGAAATTGGGCAGCTGAGCCCCTGCTGGAACCTGTGTTAAGACTGGAAGTGGAGTCCAGCCAAAGAATCCGAAAGGCTGAGTGGTTCGTGATCTAAATCAAAAGAACAAAATTCAGTGCTGGAGCTACCCTTTGTGAAGTGCTGTTATCAGTTTCCTCCAGCAACACAGGAGCAGCACCGGCCGCAACAGCCAGGCAGAGCGCCCCCACAGATCCCACCTTGGAAAGCTTTCTAAACTCGCTCAGCTGAACGAACGTACTGTTACCAACCCTCGGAAATTTACTGGCAAGTGCGGCAGACACTTTGCAAGCTTGTGGGCAACTACGTGCATGCGCAGATCTTCTCCTCGTGCGGGCCAATCGCAATGCGAGGCTGAGCACTACGCCTGCGCAGTAGGCCTCAGGTCGCGCTTACCCTTCCTCTGCTCCTGCAAGCCTGGTAAGCTGTCCAATTCCCACCCCGTGCTGAGAGGAGGAGTCTGCGTGGAGTGCGTGTAAAGGGACGGAGGGAGTGGGCCGGAGCCCACGGTGTTTGACCCATCTGTTGGTGCGTGAGAAGAAAGGAAGGAAGCGGTGCAGAGTAGTGGTTGCCAAAATGTTCCGCTGTGGAAGCCTGACAGCGGGTGCTTTGAAGCAGAACCTGGCGCCCTTGGTGCGGACTGTGTGCGTCCGAGGCCCGAGGCAGAGGAACCGGCTTCCAGGTGACTGTCCCATCCCGGGCAACCCCCACCTCGATAGACCAAGGGCCTGGGATGCTTAGGCTCCCAAAGCCTTGCAGCTTTCCCCATCCCCCATCCCCCGGGAAAAACTTAACACACTTGCAGTCGCGTGAATTCCGAGTTGGCAGGATCCAAACCATGAGTTTTGCAAGTGGTACGGACCTGACCTTCAAGGGAATTGAACCCAGTAGTTGGCTTGAGGCCTTTTCCTGGGAGGGTTTGCTCTTCAGGGATAACGGAACAACTGGATGTCTAGTATTGACCAATGCCACCTTCTGGCCACTCCTCATCCGCCTTTTTAGAGCAATGAGGTCAAGCAGACTTTGTCTTTTACCGATTGTGAGACTTGAAACAGGACATTTAAGCTCCACGCCCTAGTTCCTTCTGTAAATGAGTGTATTACCTGCTTTACCTTCCAAATCCCGGGTGAGATGTATAGATTTGAGTGCCCTGTGAAACTGAAACAGTGCATTGCAAGTAAGGAGTCAGTGGGTTGTGCGCCAAACACCAGGCGAGTTGACCCAGGATTAATTTGAGGTATCTGGTCAGTGTAATTCTTGGTGGACTTTAATGCTTCAGAGAAAGAGTTTGCAGAATGCATTGTATTTGCCCTGAAGCTGTTTCATCAAATTTTAGAGGTGGAAGGGATTTTGTGGTAAAGTCCAAACCCATTTTATAGATAATAAACCAAGGCACAGAGAGGTGAAAATTTCTTGCCCAAGGTCACATAATTAATAGCTAGATCAAAGGGTAGGTTGCCTGTCTCTAGGACCCTAATACCCTTTCCTCAACTCCATTTTGCTTCCTAAAGTTTGACCTCAAGGTTAATAATGAATCTAGTTCCCCTTTAGCCCATTGTGCATCAGCTGTCTCTGAATTTATCTGAGCATGTCTTGTGCCTGCTCATTTTCAACCAGCACAGTTTCATGCGGGTAAGGAATTATCCACCTATAAGAGGTGCAGGTTTATTTAGTTTTTAATCGATAATCTTGGAATGACCATCTGAGGACACTAACATTTGCAATGTCAGAAGTTATCCTTGAGACCTTTCCAATGTGGAACCACCTGAGTGATTTTAAAACAAAAAGTGGAAAATATTCCCCTTATATTGTTATCTTTGGGAATGTGCATTTGAAGAGTTTTTCTAGTTGCTATGTCTCAAGAAAATGTTTCCTGATGGATGTGTATCTGAGGTAGGTCCTAAGACATATTACTCTTGGAACTTAAAAACCTCTGCCTTGGCTTTTAGACTAATATATCATCTGTGATGTCATCTGTATGTTTATGTTTGTGCAATGAAATGAGTGTGCTCTATGCAAATTGCACATAAATTTAGGTAAGCTGAAAATTTGTGTCCACATTGGCCTTTCAAACTTTGTGTACTTACTTTGCTTAAAACTCACACTTTTACCAGCATTCTGAAGCCTGACCAAAAGTTCTCAGTAATTAAATATGGATTCCTAAACTAATATTGACTTAAGACATTTGAGGGTGGTTGGTGATATTAGAACTAGTACTGAAAAATTACCGACTCAATGGTTTTTTCCCATTGCATAACTTTGTATGAAGGTAGTGTACTGTAGAATGTATTCTGACGTCTTTTGACATATCCATCTATCTCTTTGTATACACTTATTCTTTGTCTTTTGGCCAAACACCAGTGTATAAGAAATGGGTGGGACTGAGGTTGCAATTTGAAAAAGAAACAATTCTGTCACTTTACAAATTTACCCTGTTTGCTGCTTGATTACAAATTGCTTTTAATCTGATTTCTTTTTCACATGGTCACATCAACCATACATTTTTGTGTAAGTGGGGAAGAGGCATTGTTTGTTTTTATGCCATTTTCCTCTTTTTTTTTCTTCTTCCCCCTCAATTCTCTACCAGGATTTTAGGAAGATTTAAGACTACCTTAAAATGATCTCATCCACATCTGTCACTGCTGTCAGGTTCATTTCCATTTTATGTTGCATTTTTCCTTAAAATCCTAATAGCTACTATTTGTTTATTTATTTTATTTGGATGTTCTACCTGTTTCCAGATATTATTGAAGGTATTAATAGTCACTTCAGCACTGCAGAGCAGATAGGTTAGGTAATGGATATTTTCTGTTCTGTAGTATTTGGTCACCAAACATTATACTACCCATGTGATCAAACTGATCATGATCCCTGACCTGAGGGACAAATGTTTGAACATTTTTCTCTACTTAAAATCCTTCTTAACTCCTTAAAAAGGAAATTGGACTCAAATGATGCTTTTTTGAAGCCTAAAAGCTGAGCCTTCCAAAGGGTCGCTGGTTCAATTCCCAGTCAGGGCACATGCCTGGGTTGTAGGCCAGGTCGTCAGTAGGGAATGAATGAGAGGCAACCACACATTGATGTTTCTCTCCCTCTCTTTCTCCCTTCCCCTTACTAAAAATAAATGAAATCTTTTTTAAAAATTAGAAAAAAATAAAAATAAATAAAATCTTTAAATTAAAAAAAAAAAAAAAAAAAAAAGATGAGCCTTCTCCCCCCTCTTTCTGCTTAGGCAAAATTTTCCAGAAGAAAATCTTTGGCAAGTTAGTCTTTTCTGCAACCAATTAATGTTATATTTTCTAACAGTTCACAGGAATTACTGCATATTATAACTTTCTTCTAGAGCATTCCAAAGTTGCCTAGTCATATAAATCAAGGGGAGGATGGACCCCAAACCTACCAAATGAGAATCTCTAGGAGAGAGGACATAATTATATATATATATATATATATATATATATATATATATATATATATATAAAATGTTTTAAAAGATTTTATTTACTTATTTTAGACAGAGGGGAAGGAGGGAGAGGAGAGAAACATCAATGTGTGGTTGCCTCTTGCACGCCCCCTACTGGAGACCTGACCTGGCCGGCAACCTAGGCATGTGTCCTGACTGGGAATCAAACTGGTGACCCTTTGGTTCACAGGCTGGCACTCAATCCACTGAGCTACACTAGTGAGGGCTGGAACTTTATATTTTAACAAGTCCCTTGATGTAATTCATATGATCCAGCAAATTTGGGAAATACTGTTTTGAATGAATAATGATTCTTTTCCTTCTCTTCCACTCACCTAAAAATTAAAAAAAAAAATAGACTGAGTGAGTCTCTTATGATGTGTATCAAGCCCGTCTTCTGATATTCAGAGTAGTGGCAGCCATTCTCCCCTCCTAAATTATGCACTACCTGAGGACAGAGATTATGTCCTATCTATTTTTGTGTCCTCAGCATTTTGTACAGCCTCTGGCATGTGGTAAATTCTCAGTGACTGAACCCTAGTACTGTAAGACTTACCTTTGTAGAACAGTTACATTTCTTTTATTTCTTTCTTTTTTTTTTGGTCATCTGAATCATTTTTCCTCTGGTGCCTTTCTTCAGAGTGGTTCACACTCTATTATAGTTATCACTGTCCTGATTCTTCTAAAATCCCATAAGAGGTGATGCTAAAAAAAAAAGAGGCTGATAAAGGTAAGTAGTTGTTGGATTCCTTATAAAGAGGTGCCTAAGGAACAGGTCATGTAGACTCGTCCTGTCCTGCATTTTATCCATGTCAGAAAAGTCAGTTTGACATTCTGAACACAAGACTCAAGAGTATATAGACTGCTCTATTTGAGATTCCTAGATACCTCAATTGTGTGAAAGTATTTCTGGAAAAGGGCTTCCAGAAATATGGAAAAAGGAGATTATGACATCTATGGAAATGAACTGGTGATGACTTAGGTACTATTCTAATGCTAGTCGTTGGTATTTGAGGTTACTGATTTATTATTAAGCAACCCAAAATAATTGGGATATGGCTAAAACTTCTTTGCAAAGAGTTCTTCAAAATATTTATTCCTTATCACTAGAATTCGGAAGAACTTCTAGTTCTTTCCTTCACTAATTTAACAAATATTTATTAAACAAACACCTACTATCTGTTGGGCACTGTTGTGCTGTGTAACAATTGAATAATTGAATCCTTGCACAGTATAGTGAATATAGACAATGATATTATATTATAATCATCAGACTTGCTAAGTGACTAGATCCTAATTACTCCAGCCACTAAAAAGGAAATGATAATGTGATATGATAGAGGTGCTATCTACCACTACAATGGCAATTATAATATATAAATGTATCAGATAAAAAAAAAGAATTGAATCCTAAGTGTGAGGAAGAAAGTATCTGTGGTTTGACTGAAGAAAATCTAAAACAATAATGAGAAGTCAAGGAGTAAGTTGGCTTTCCCACGTTAGTAAGACAAGTGAAAAGGCATGTTTCAGTCATGATGTAAAATTTACTAAAATATTGAAGCTCCAGGGATGGGGAGAGGTGTAGAAGTAATTCTATGGGTAAAAGAAAATTGGTGGGAAATATCAACATCCATACAAGACTTATCACTTTTTACAAAGCTTAAAGTCACTTTGTAGGTATGCTAAAAGTTGGTTTGTTAATGATAATAGTGTTTTATTACATTTTTTTCAAGCAGTAGATTAAATGTTAACCAATTTACCTTCTAAAAATCAGTTTACTTTTAAATGTTCTTTTTAGGGGTATATTGAGGCAAAATCTCCTGAACTTTCTCAAATCTAATGCTCTTAGTTTTATCAGTTTGTGAAAAGCAAACAGAGAGTAAACACATTGCTATTATATTAAAATAAAGTTGTTAGAATTTCTGGACTTAGAATTCTCTAGGGAAATAAATGGAACTTAAAAAAACATTTATTTTCAGTAAACGAATAGGGTGGGGTGAGGGACAAAACTCATTGAAACTGAACTAAACTTGTATTCATTGAACTAGACCTCCTGGAACTTTTTCTACCCAGGTTCACTTTCTAAGCTCTGAGAGTTTTCAGTTTCTACTCATGTTTCATCATTTTATGGATGTCTGAATATTGAAAGCTTGCCCAGATTGAGATTAGCTACTCTACCCTTGCACATGATTTTATCTTCATGATTTGTTATTTCCAAATATAAACTGTTTTATTTCATAAGGTGATGAAGGATTCTCAAGCAGGTAAGAAATAAAAACAGTAAAAAATATGTTTTTAGCCCTAAGAATATACGTCCATGGTCTCTTATCTATAATTGAGAAATTAAAATAGACTAAAAATCAAATTTTTGTAACTCATTTGCCAGTAAAACCTGACCTGAACTGGGGCGAGCCTACTTGGAATTCTTTGTTGATCCACTCTGTGTAATTGGTCATAGAAACATGAATGTGTGTCACTGTGGGTTGCTGGGTGCTCCTTACTATATGGTATATACACTGTATCCTTAAGACCAAACAATTCGAAGTTCTGCATTGCACATGTCCATAAAGATTTCAGGTAAGAGCACTAGCTGGTGTGGCTCACCTGGCTGGATTGAGTGCCGGCTTGCAAACCAAAAGGTCTCTGATTCCATTCCCAGTCAGGGCACATGCCTGGGTTGCAGCCCAGGTCCCCAGTAGGGGGTGTGTGAGAGGCAACCACACATTGATGTTTCTTTCCCTCTCTTTCTCCTCCCCTCCCCCTCTCTCTAAAAATAAATAAATAAAATCTTCTTAAAAAAGAAGATTTGCCCTGTCTGGTGTGATCTGTGGATTGAGCATGGGCCTGTGAACCAAAGGGTCACTGGTTCAATTCCCAGTCAGGGCATATGCCTGAGTTGCAGGCCAGGTCCCCAGTTGGGGTCACGTGAACAGCAGCCACACATTGATGTTTCTTTCCCTCTCTTTCTCCTTCCCTTCCCCTCTCTCTAAAAATAAATACAATCTTAAAATAAAAAAAGAAAAGAATTCTTAAAAAGATTTCAGGTAAGAGACTGCAGACCTATGTTGGATGTGTTTTTATACCTCTGTGCCCCAACATTGTGAAAGCAAAGTAGAAAACTCCCTGTTTCTGATCTCTATAAGTACATGGAATGCTACTACCAGCACCCATTCTGTTCATCTCCAATAGCCTGATCAGACCAAGAACATGTCTACCTGCCTCTACACCAGTGGTCTTAAAGTGCAGACCTGCAATATCACCGGGGAACTTGTGAGAAATGCAAATTTGTGAGCCCCATCCCAGATCCCCTGACTCCAAAACTGTACGGGTTGGTCTCTGTCCATCTGTGCTTTAACAAACCCTTAATGGGATTCTGATGCAAGTTTTATAACCACTGCTCTAGATCAGATGACAAACTACAGCCCATGGGCCAAACATGAATGCTTTTGTATGACTCCCTAAGCTAAGATGGTTTTTACACTTTTGTGAATGCCTGGAGAAAAATTAAAAATAGAGTATTTGAGGACACATTAAAATGATTTCAAATTCACATTTTAGTGTCTATAAATTAAGTTTTATTGGAACACAGTCACACCCATTCATTTCTATATTGCCTATGGTGCTTTTGCTCAACATCAGCAGAATTGAACAGTTGCAACAGCGACCGGATTACAGCAGTGACCAGACAGCCTGCAAAGCTGGAAATATTTACTATGGGTCCTTTATAGAGAAAGTGTGTGAATCCCTGCTCTAGGTCAATAGTTAAGACAAGAAATTTCCCAAGCATAGAGTGTTCTGAGAGCTTCCTTCATCTGAAAATGCCAGCATCCTCCTGGATGAAGAAATCTACGAAACTTTTGATAATTCTGTATTAGAGTTGTTATGATCACCAGGTCATTTGCATAGCTGCACGAAATTTTACATCAACATCACTTTGTATTTTTTCAGAGGACTAAGAACCAAGTAGTTGGTGGATATATTATATTTTGTCATTCTAAAAAATACTTCATAATTCAAAATTCCTCAGTTCTTTGGGAGTAAATTCACTTAAATTTTTTTCTGACTTTCTTCCTAGCTTGAACATTTCTGTCTTCCAAGACATAATACTTTTCATGCAAGACTGAACTGTGTCTTGGTTAGATTGTGTGGCAGGGTTTTATTATTTTGTGCGAGGTTTGAACCAGCTGTTTAGATGTCTTCTTAAATGACTGTTATAATGTCCTAGGTATCCTGTAATTAACTTTTTATATCTATCCAGTCATCTCTCCATGGTTACTTCATTTATGGTGAAGAAGTATAAGAGAAGTATTTGATGAACTGCACATATGTTTTTCATGATCCTTTCTGGAAGCTATCAATTTCCTCCCCGGGCAGCATTCTTAAGAACACTAACCATGTAAAGAGTGTGCATTCTGATATATGTTATATTTGTGTGTACAATGTTGATGTCTTTTTTCATGGTCATTTAGCAGCAACGTCATCCAGCCAGCAGGCAGTAAGTCCTGACTTATACAATGCATTGACGTTTAGTCATAAACATGTATTAACTATTTTATTTTTATATGTGTGTGTGTGTCTTAATAAATTGTGTCCTTTAGGCAACTTGTTCCAGCGATGGCATGTTCCTCTAGAACTCCAGATGACAAGACAAATGGCTAGCTCTGGTGCATCAGGGGGCAAAATCGATAATTCTGTGTTAGTCCTTTTTGTGGGCTTATCAACAATAGGTGCTGGTGCATATGTAAGTAGAAAGCAGCTTGTGTGAAGAAGCTGCCAAACAGTTTCCATTAATAGACTCGGTACTACTCTGATTTAAAACTTCTGCAACTGATTGCCCTTTCTCCTTTTGAAAAAATTTCTAATAAGCTTTTAACATGCCTACTGTCTGATACCCTATGAGAACCAATTTGGGAATGACTGAAATTTAATCTCCTGTTGCTTATCTTTGCACTTTTCACTTGTCTTTTTACTTGAAAGCCACTGTGTTTTCTTAGGTTTGACCAAATACCAAAAATTGTACCTTTTCTCTTGGATATTGATTAAGGTGGAAATTCATTGCAGCTCCTTAGCACAATATTTTATTTTGACCCATTTGTCAAATATTTTCTTTCTCCTCAGCTTGGGATAGGCATGAAAAACAAAAACAACAGCCTTCAATTCAAATACTAAGTATTCCTAATTTGAAAACTATCCTTGAATCTCACTGAAAGCCTAAATATATAGAAGTAGTCCTAGTATCTCCAATTTTAGAATGGAGTTTGTGTGAGGTAAGAAGTATGGTTTTAACTTCTGCGTAGTTATAGCACAATTATATCGCCTTAAATGAACTCTGATCAGCTTAGTTGGTCACACAAGAATTATTTTGTACATTTTTTTAACTTGGCAGGGTTTACTGTGACTAAGTAGATCAGTCTAAATTAGCAAATCAGTCTAAAGCTGGATCATGTAAAGTTGAGAGAATCAACTTAGATAACTGCACCCTTGATTGAAGGAAGCTGTTTGTTTTACTTACTGAGAGCAAATGGTTGGATGCCATTACAATTTTAGTTCTTTCTGTATTGGGAAGACAGCAAACTTGTCTTGCTTCTTGATCACTAGGTTAAAAAAAGAGACATGAAAATTATTTGAAGTTATCTAGATCATCATACCGTGACCTGACTTCCAAATGTACAAGAAAAGTAGATAGTTCTTGCCAGTTGTGAGTCAAAGTAAAAAATAGGTAAGCTCTGTCAGATAACAGACGTTAAGGAAATATACATTCTCCTCCAATCCTGGAGCAGCATTTTTTTTTCATTTTTAGCACAGGGTAACCACAAACGTGTGTCCCTGCCTTTGTGTTGAATGTTTCTTCATTGATACTTAGTTCTTTTTCTATTTCCTTTTGTTTCTTTCTTGGCCTTATCTTTACCTACAGTTGTGCCGTGTCATCACCTAGGATCCCCTTCTAGATCACTAGCGTCTACAGGTTCTTCTGGGAAAGATGGCAGCAGACTAGTATACTTCTTAATTGTAGGAGCAACAGTCACTGGGGCAGGAGTTCATTATGTAAGATGCTTACACCAAAATTTATTTGGGGGCATGGTGGGTGAGACTATGGCACTAATGAAGACTGGATCCAATAGAATACACTGAAGTATTCATAGCATGTGCTTTCTAGGTATTTGTTAAAGGGACATTGTCAGTCACTAGGGAGTCCTCAAATCTGGCTCTTCAAACTGTTGAACTCCTACTGGATATATATAAAGGCACACATTTAATGAGTATTATAAATACTCATCATCAGCCCTTTAAAATTTTTTGTCAATTTCATAATTATGTTTTATGATGCCAAATTATATTGTGCTTTAGTGCTGCATATCTAAGAAGACAGTCTCAAAGAGTAAATGTTGACTAAGCAAATGAAGATAACTTGAATACCATCCATTTTGAATCATTTTAGGTAAAATGATGTGTTTTTGGGTAAACAATTAATTTTAAAAGGCATTCTACTGAATGCTTTTGAGGAGGTCCAAACAGCCATAGAAGTCCTCCCCACTCACCCCCAGCTTCCATTGCAAAGTGAATTCATTTGGCAGTGTCCCTTTGTAATCTCTAATTTGGTCAAACTAGTGACTGAAGTGCTATAAGCTAACATATTCCTGTAGATTACTACCTTAAATGCCTCTCATTTATAATTCAGATATCCTCTAAGTCTTAACTTTTCCATTTCATAGTTCTCTCAACTTTTCCTATCAGTTCCATTCTGTTCACTCAAAAATCGATTTAAAGTGTTTGCATCTGACATGTTTGTAAAATTTAAACCTATTAAATCTCTGCTTTATGTTGCTGTGCCAGAATTGGATGGCCTCCACATAGCTGGCCAGGCAACTCTGGTGATGCCAGGCCAAAAGACAGGGCAATCACTGTTGCTGTCTCCTGCCTTAGAAATATCTATGAAGCACAGGTGCCTCCCAAACCATTCAGTTAAATACCTCACTGCCCTCTGTGTTTATCCAACACTGGTAATAATACAGCTACTATATTATAGTGGTTTCACATTAAATGATAAGCTTTTGTCTATCTACAGTCATTTGCTAACTATTTTGTGGAGTTTTATATTAGGTTTTATATCACTGCAAGTGTGATCTGAGGTAGCTTAGATATTTTTCTCTGAAAGTGGTATTAGTCTACAGAGAATGGTTAAAATCAGACATCAGAGTTGATGAGATATGGCTGCAAGTTGTTTAGTGTTTATATTAGTCTGCTTTGGCTGCCATAATAAAATACCACAGACTAGGAAGTTTAAACAACAGAAATTTATTCTCTGACAATCTGGATTATGAAAGTCCAAGGTAAAGGTGCCAGCATGGTCAGGTTCTGCTGAGAGCACTCTTTCTGGCCTGCAGGTGGCCACCTTCTCCCATTTCCTCACGTGAGGAAAAGAATGTGAGCTCTCTTCCCTATCACTAGCCCTGTGACACAGGTGGCAAACACAAGGCTCACGGCCGATTCCGGCCCTCCACCTTGTTTTATTGGGCCCAGTACCCTGTTTGTACCCAGCGGCAGCACTCAGCTCTCACTTAACAGTTAAGGAGTAGTTACATTGATACAGCCCTAAAATGACATTCGACCCTTTGAAGGCAACCGTGAGGCTCATGTGGCCCCTGGTGAAAATGAGTTTGATACCCCTGCCCTATGGGATTAGGGCCCCACCTTTATGACCTCATTTAACCTTGATCATCTCCAAGAAGTCCCATCCCCACATACCATCCCATTGGGGGTTAGGGCTTCAACATATGAATTTGAGAGGGATATAAGCATTCCATACACAACAGTATTTCGTCACAACTTTTCTCTCTCACACTGAGAGGACATGTTCCTGTATACATACTACCTTAGCAATTTCTGAGTTGGGAGGTCTTTATCTTTACCTTCCCCTCACTCCGCCCTCCAAAAATAAGGGAGCAGTACTAAGAACAAGGAAGGTTTTTCTGAAATGTTTGCCAGGGGTCTATACCTTAAACTAGTGGGTTTAAAAATTTTTACTACAATCCACAGGAAGAAATAAATTTTATCTTGCCACCATTATATAATGATAAATATGTAAAACAGAAAATTTCAAAATAATACTTACTAGGTATAATAGACTCCAGTAGTTTCTATTCTCCTATTTTTAAAAAATATTTTATGTATTTATTTTTAGAGAGAAGGGAAAGGAAGGAGAAAGGGAGAAAGATAACAATGTGCGGTTGCCTCTCACGTGCCTCCCTTTGAGGACCTGGCCTACAACACAGGATGTGCCCTGACTGGGAATCGAACTGGTGACCCTTTCGTTTGTTCAATCCACTGAGCTACATCAGCCAGGGCACGTATTTTTTGTGTGTGTGCTGGTCATAACCTACGAAATTGATTTAACAGCTCTTTATTGGGTTGCAACCTCACTTTGGAAAACACTGATTGGAACAACACTTCAGCTTAAATTACAGATAGGAATTCCTGATTGGTGTGGATGTGAGCATTCCTCCCTCTTTTGGTAGTGACTTTCTTTAGGACCACAGGCACATCCCTAATCTCAGTCCTGTTATTTATCAGTGAACAGAGCTGAGTGGCCTTTAGAATATGTAATGAGGTTTGGCATTTGCACCCTTTGCTGTTATTCAACTGATAGGTTCATGTTGCCTCACTAAGAAAATGACCTGTTGTCCTTCAACTTCCTTTAAGTTAACCAAATGCTGGCACATTCATCTGCTTTAAAAAGTTGTTTCCACTAATATTTTTCATATTACAGTTTTTCTTAACCTTACATATAGTCATGCCACTAATTAGAAATCTGTGCAAACTGGGAATACAGAAACACTTGGGGGAAAGATAAAATTTTAATTAGTATGTCTGCAAACTTGTTCTTATATCAGAACATTTACTTAAAAGCTAAATAAATAAGGTTCTAAATAGATTACAAGCTTTAGTCTTGTCCTTTCCCCACTAAACCTCAAGATATTTCTTAGTCTGTTTTTCCTGGCAATGTGTGAAGCTACCAGGAGGTGTGGCAGGGCCTAGACTATTTTTGTTCGTCCCACTCAATATGAACATGACCCCAGTTTATTTCTCTGCTCATTCATGTTGACCAGGTTAAGCCATCTTTTTGGATAAAAGTCCCTTTCTTAAAAGAAAATATATATATATATATATATATTTATATATATTTATATCTATATAAATATATAGATATAAATATATATAAATAGTGGATAAATACTTGATTCGTGTATAATATCTAATGCCAAGATTAAAAAAAAAACTCTCTTAGTTAATGTTAGCTGAATTCAGTTTATTTGTTGAATTTAGTGGCAAATTCAAGGAATAACCATGGTCTTTTAACATATAGTATTTAATTTTCTAATCCATCCATACCATGTGTTAGAAGATTTCAAGCTGCTAAACTTTGAGGTCTCAGGGGCGAGGTCCTTTATTGCAGCACATTGCCTCATAGGCTGCTCAGTAAGGGGCTTGTGGAAATATTTTTAAAACATATTTTAGCCCTGGCTGGTGTGGCTCAGTGGATTGAGCACCAGCCTGCAAACCAAAGGGTTGCCAGTTTGATTCCCAATCAGGGCACATGCCTGGGATGTAGGCCAAGTTCACCAGTAGGGGGCGTTCGAGAGACAACCACACATGGGTGTTTCCCTCTCTTTTTCCTTCCCTCCCCCTTTCTCTAAAAATCAATAAATAAGTCTTTTAAAAAACATGTTTAATTACACTTCCTCTGATTTTGCTTACTTTCGCCAATTAACTAATAATCTGGGGTTCCAATTGGCATATGGTCACTTAAATTCTGTCTTCTTGACCCTGTGGGATACAAAAGAGCAAAAGTGTTATGATTAAGAACAAGTCATTGTTGCCTATTTTTAAAATGGTTTCCAATTCTGATGCTATACATAAAAAGAAAAACACACTAGCCATAATGCTAAGGTATCCTTCATCAATTTGAAAAGATAGAGAAAATAGTATTTTTTTAAATACCACAGGTGTTTAAGCAAGGTGTTTGACCCTTAATGAATATCTAAGTGACATGAAAGGGTAGACCATTGAGGGAATGATTACTTAATCTATCACTCTAGGATATAGGTGGTCATGTTTCAGGGACCAAACTCAGAACACTTACCAGGGAAATTTATGTCCCAGCTGCCAACCCTGGACCACACAGGTTTGGTTTCATAGCCAGTGTCCAGCAAAGTCCAAAATCCCTTATTTAAAGTTCAGTACTTCCTAGCACTTTATTCTTCTAATATACAATGTTTTTCTGATTTCTTTGTACCTTCAGAATGAAATACAATATGAGGAAAATTCTTCACATAGACCCTAAGGAAATTTGAAACTAGAACAATTTCATCTGCTTAACCTGTAATCTTTTCACACCAAGTGTGTACACACTTAATATTTTTTAATTCTTAAGAAAATAATTTTGTCCTAGTGATTTTCTCATAGAAGAACTTACCTCATGTAGACAAAAGCTTCTCATTTAATTGGAAGATAATGATATTACTAATGGTATGAGCTAGCTCTGTTAGGAAATCAATTTTCTCCATGTTTGGATTACAGGCCTACAAGCATATAAGAGATGACAAAAAAAGATATAATGAAAGAATTTCAGGATTAGGGCTGACGCCAGAAGAGAAACAGAAGATGGCCACATCATCTGGTAAGTAAGATTTGAGGCTCAATAGATGAAGGGAAAGTTATAAACAGTTTGGATACTATGCTTTGCTCATATCTTGTAGACAGTGATGATGCTGAGATATTGTAAGCTTCCAGAAACCATGGTATTACCCCAGGCCTGGCAGCAACTTATTAAAGTATTTGACTGAAACGTCTGTTTGAGAATAAAATTAGTGGTGACCATGATTGGTTGTTTTTCTTCATATTAGACTCTCAAAAGGCAAGCTTTACATTAAAAAGGCAAGCTTGGAGAGGAAAGTTATTGGTAAAGAGATGAAGGCCTTTTTTTTCAATGACAAAATTCTTTTGGTCTGTTTTGTTACCCTTTTGAGTCTTTGGAGTTTTCAGTTGTTAAAGATGCATTTGTTTTTCTAAAGCATATAGCCCTAGCTGGCACTTCCATCACACACAACTGACTTGATTTTCCAGAGAGGAATGTTTTAATCCTTTAATAAGCCCCACAACCCTGGGTGGGCGATTTACATTGCTTTCATCAGTAACACATCCTTGTTCTTGAACATTGTATAATAATCCCCAGTTGACCTTCTGGGTTTTCCCCCTTTATTGCTAACATAAGGTGAAACTGGCCCTGGAAGGTTGTGAGTTCAGTTCCTGGTCCGGGCATTGTGGGAGGCAGCTGATTGATGTTTTTCTCTCCCCCTCCCCTCCCCTCCCCTCCTCTCCCCTCCCCTCCCCTCCCCTCCCCTCTCCTCTCCTACCCTCCCCTCCTCTTCCCCTCCCATCCCTTCTCCGCTCTCTAAAAATCAATAAATACAATAAAGATTAAATCAAAAAAGAAAGAAATTTCCATAATAAAAAATACATTCACTCTGTTGTGCCCACAAAAAAAAAAATCAATAAACATATCCTCGGATTAGGATTAAAAAAAAAAAAGTGAAACTGAACGTGATATTTCCCTGTTAGTCATTAGGAAATTAATCCAAAGGACAGAAACCTTTTAATATATACTTTCTAATAGATTTTAGAAATAGCTAAACATGTAAGCTAGATTTTAGTTCTGACATTTAATGTATGAGTGACATTGGCCTAATCATTCATTCCTTTTTCGGTTATTTTTCACTTATGAAATGAAGGGAATACTTGCTTTTCCTGTCCCATCATGACGTTGAGAAGTTCGTTAAGAAAAATGTGTACATACAGTGTTTTGTGAGCCTTATGGAAAGGATTGAGATAAGTTAAGATGATTTTCTTTGAAGTGGCAAGGAGTCATCTGAGACTTTAAGAAAATTCACCCTGTCTGATCTGTTGCTTACAGCTCTAGAAGGAGAATCAGTTCCTCAGGTCAGGGTACCAAGTCATGTTCCATTCCTGCTCATCGGTGGAGGTACTGCTGCTTTTGCTGCAGCCAGATCCATCCGGGCTCGGGATCCTGGGGCCAGGGTAAGCCACATACTGTCTTGCTTGTCACAGAGGGTATGTATATATGTAGTCTGCAAGCACTTAGCCACTGTGAACACTTTGACATCTGCCTATGAAATGACTTGGTTCTGAAAAGTATCATTATTTTGTGTCTACAGGTACTGATTGTATCTGAAGATCCTGAACTGCCATACATGCGACCTCCTCTTTCAAAAGAACTGTGGTTTTCAGATGATCCAAATGTCACAAAGACACTACGATTCAAACAGTGGAATGGAAAAGAGAGAAGGTGTGTTCACTTACGTAAAATGGGCCTGACTACCAACTTCAACTTAAAAAAAGGGAATAGGTCAAGATTTTTCATGGAGCCCTGACCGGGTAGCTCGGTTGGTTAGAGCATTGTCCTGATACACCAAGATTGCAGGTTCGATTCCCGGTCAGGGCACATACAAGAATCAACCAAATGAATGCATATATAAGTAGAATAACAAATTGATGCTTCTCTCTCACACACACACAAATTAATAAATAAAAATGTAAAAAAAGATTTTTCATGGACCATGTGCAATGCATAGGATGGATGGCATGGCTGCTCATTGGAGTCTGCTCTGGTATATACTTGGTACAGCTTAGGGGCAACAGGTTACAGTGGCAGAAGCCCTGTATTCTGTTACCGAATCTACCAACAATTGAAGGTGTAATGTTGGCCTCTGAAGTACTAATGCTCCTATTTCTAGGACTTTTATGTTAGACTTCTCCAGGGATGATCAGTTTTATAGCCTGTGTTGTCACTTCTAAGACACTGTTCTATAACACTTTCTTTCACACCCTAGCAGATACTCAGAATTGCAGGGGTGGAGAAGGTACATTTTAAAGAAGAATCTTTTTATTAAAATGTTTTTACACAAGCCCTGGCTGGTGTAGCTCAGTGGATTGAGCGCCAGCCTGCAAACAGAAGGGTCCTCGATTTGATTCCTGGTCAGGGCACATTCCTGGGTTGCTGGCCATATCAGCTCCCCAGTAGGGGGCGCATGAGAGGCAACCACACACTGATGTTTCCCTCGTTCTCCCTTCTCCTCTAAAACAAATGAAATCTTTTTTTATTATATTTTATTGTTTATGCTATTACAGTTTTCCCAATTTTCCCCTTTATCCTCCCCTCCACCCCCTAACCCTCCAGCATCCCCACCCCCGTAGTTCATGCCCATAGGTTGTACATTGATCTTCAATTTCTTAGATAAGTCCCTCTAACATTTCATATAATAAAGGCTTGGTGATGATGAACTCCTTTCACTTGACCTTATCTGGGAAGCATTTTATCTGCCCTTCCATTTCAAATGATAGCTTTGCTGGATAGAGTCATCTTGGATGTAGGTCCTTGCTCTTCATGACTTCAAATACCTGTTTCCAGCCCCTTCTTGCCTGTAAAGTTCCTTTTGAGAAATCAACTGACAGTCTTAAGGGCACTCCTTTGTAGGTAACTTTTTCCTTTCCACTTGTTGCTTTTAAGATTCCCTCTTTATCTTTAATCTTGGGTAACTTAATGATGATGTGCCTTGGTGTGTTCTTTGGGTCCAACTTCTCTGGGACTCTCTGGGCTTCTTGGACTTCCTGGAGTTCTACTTCCTTTGTCAGATTGGGGAAGTTCTCCTTCATTATTTGTTCAAATAAGTTTTCAGTTTCTTGCTCTTGTTTTTTTTTTTTTTTTCTTCTGGCACTTCTATAATTCGGATATTGGAATGTTTCAGGTTGTCCTAGAGGGTTTTTTTTTTAATTCACTTTTTTGAATTCTTGTTTGTTCATTCTGTTCTGGTTGGATGTTTATTTCTTCCTTTTGTTCCAAATCATTGATTTGAATCCTTGTTTCCTTCCTGTCACTGTTGGTTCCCTGAATATTTTGCTTTATTTCATTTTGGGCATCTTTCATTTGTTCTTTCATTTTGCGACCAAGCTCAATCAGTTCTGTGAGCATTTTGATTACCAGGGTTTTGACCTTTTCATTAGATAGGTTGGCTGTATCCTCTTTGCTTAGCTCTCTTTCTGAGGGGTTTCTCTGTTCATTTACCTGGGCCATATTTCTTTGCTCGGGGCCCTATATTTCTTTGCTCAGGGGTGGGTGGGGCCTTAGGTATTCACCTAGGCAGGACAACCCTCCTTGCTGCGCTCCTGTGTCACTGCCTGTGGGGGAGGGGCCAGAGAGGGAACAATGCAGCTTGCCTGCTCATCTCTAGTGCACTTTTTTCAAATGAAACTCACTTTTTTTTAAGATTTTGTTTTTTATTTATTTTTAGAGAGGGAAGGGAGGGAGGGAGAGAGAGAGAGAGAAACATCAATGTGTGGTTGCTGGGGGTCATGGCCTGCAACCCAGGCATGTGCCCTGACTGGGGATCGAACCTGCGACACTTTGATTCGCAGCCCACGCTCAATCCACTGAGCTATGCCAGCCAGGGCTCTAGCACACTTTTCAATGAACTCTCTCATGTAAGACTGGGATTTTCTCCCACTGTGGCAACCACCATAGTACAAAGCCACCTCTGAGTCTCAGTTTCCCCTTAAGTAAACCCCCATTCACACAGCCTGCCTTCTCACCACAGCCAGCCCTGTCTCAGGGCCCGCCTCCTCACAGCAGTTTTTCTCCATCTGCTGCCTTCCCGGTCTGGTTCTGTTTGACTGTTTCTTTCATTCCGTGGTTATTGGAGTTCCATGCAGTTTGATTTTTGGGCACTTCCCATTGTTTGTTGATTTTAGATTGGTTGTTATCCTTCTTTTGGTTGTGCGAGGAAGCAAAGGGTTTCTGCCTACACCTCCATCTTGTCCAGAACTCCTATTGATTAAAATAAATAAAATCTTTTTAAAAATGTTTACATAAGAGACTTAGAAAGCCTTTTTCTTTTAAAAAGGATGACTTGGATCTCTTGATTCAAGTACCATGTACTTTGGGTCTCAATTTTTTTGTCCTTAGTGATCTTTTTGCTATTGAACAGATTTCATAAATCTTCCCACCTCCCTCACCCTCACTATCATGTTCCTTTCTCAAGCAGGATGCATATTTCCAATTACCTTACCATCACTTAATTAATATTTCATAGTTACTGTCCACTGTTTGAGGCAAAACCATCTCAGGAGCTAAACCGAGTTCATTTTGAAATGAACCTATATCCAGCGCAGCATTTCTCAGCCTCAGTACTTGGCATTTGGGGCTGGATAATTCTTTGTTACGGGGGTGGTCTGTGAACTGTTAGGTGTTCAGCAGCATCCCAGGCTTCTACCCACTAGATACCAGTACATCCCTCCACCCAAGCTGTTACAGCCAAAATATCTCCAGACATTACCAAATGTACTTGCCCCAGGGGAGGGACAAAACTGCCCCCAGTTGAGAACCGCTGCTCTAAAATACCTCTGTATGTATAAGTCACAACCAAGATTTAGTGACCATGGAGACTTACTTCGGAAAATGTTTAAAAGTGTTTCATGATGGAAACAATTTTACTAAATTTATGGGGGAAGTTGATGGCAGTTCCACATGTGTATATAACTCTTTTCCTTCTTCTCTGTACAGCATATACTTCCAGCCACCTTCTTTCTATGTCTCTGCTGATGACCTGCCTCACATTGAGAATGGCGGTGTGGCTGTCCTCACGGGGAAGAAGGTGAGCTAGTAGGCTGCTTCCTTTGTCAGGCTCCACGTATGTGCCCATGTGGGCAGTGAGTATGGTGACTTGTATCCCCAGTACCGTTTACATTTGCCCTGCCATTGTAGTTTATCAGAGAAGGATTGAATCATTTTAGGATGCATATTGCCAGTCTACAATGCTCAGTGTGTCTTCTTGGGGAAAGTACCTCAGAACCTCAAGTGGCATGCTAACTAACCTTTCCCAGGGAGGTCATATCATTGAGGACCATGACCCTGAAGCTGTTCTCTCCTGATTTGCACCTCTGCCCTTCCCCCTTCTTCCTATTTCTGCACACTAACATTTCCTTGGGATTATTGGTGATGAGAGATTGATGAATGGGTATTCCAGATAGTAAAATACTTCAGGCATAGGTCAGCATGGAAATATTGTCAGACTTTACAAAGATAAGCGTCTGAGTAATGGAAGCAGGTATTAGGGGGCAGTTGTGGGGGGCAGGGAAGGTCTTGTATTGTTGGGTTGTGTTTCACTTTTGTTAATGGGAGGTACTAGAGTACATTTGTAAGCTAATGGCAGTGTTCCAGTTGAGAGGGAATGGTTATCAAGAGCAAAGACCAGGCTAGATGAGATCCAGAGCATAAAGTATCCCCTATGTGTAAATAACACACAGGCCTTTGCCCTGTAGGGGCTAACAGTATTAGAAATACACACAGATAATCATAACAAACATGTGGAATACGAAAGATATGCACAGTATATTGTGGGACTTATACTGGGAAGCATGCCCAGGATAGTGATGATTTCAGGGAAGCCTTCCTGGAGGAGGAAGTCTTATAGAATGGGAAATATTATGGAATGCAGAGGCATTCACAAGATGAGAGTGAAGAGCATTCAAATAAAAAGGAACTACATAAGGAAAGGCATGAGGGTATGGAAAAGCATGTTGGGTGCAGGGAAACAAGCAGCTAGGTACTGAGGGAGCAGAAAGTACAAGTTAAGGAGTGGCAAGAGATGAAACTAAGAAGTTGTGCAGGAGCCCGATCCCAGAGAGCTCTATCATGTGAAAGAGGTTGAGCGTTATACCATAGGCACTGGGGAGCTGTTGGGTCTTAGACAAGGATATAATATCATTGGATTGAATTTTAAGTAACCACTCTATGGGTTGTGATGAGGATGGATGGGTTTCAGGGGCACAAGACTATTTAGAGACAGACTATTATGAAGAATATTGCAGTAATCCAGGTGAGAGATGATGGGGGCCCAAATTAGGGCAGTAGTGGTAATGATAAAGTCAGCACAGTTCTAAAACACTTTATGTATATTACCTCATTTTCTCCTCACAATAATCTTATGAGGTGAGTACTATCACTATTTCCATGTTATAGAGACAGACACCGAGATTAAAAAAGAGGTTAAATAACTTGCCCAAAATCACACAGCTAATAAGTGGTAGAGACAGAATTTGAACCCAGATCTGTCTGACTGCAGTATTCTGATTGCAGATCTCAAGCTCTTACCAACATCAGTGTGTAGCTTCCTGACAGCAATGTGGTGAAGAGTGGGGAACCCTGCAGACATGCTTAGGAGGCAGACTTGGCAGTCATGGTGATAGATTGAAGGTGGAATATGAGGGAGAGGAAGGAGGCAAAGATGACTTTCTGGTTTCCAGCTTGTGTGGTAGGTGTTGAGGTATCCCCAACTGAGAGAGACATTACAAGAGGAAGATCTAGTTTAAGAGAGAAATTTAGTTTTGGACTGTTAAATATGAAGTAGAGTGTCTGTGGAGCTGTTCTGTGGGCAGTTGGATATATGACCGTGATGCTCAGAGGAGGGTTCTAGGCTCAGACAGAGATTCAAGAATTATCCACATACGTGTAGGAGTTGAAATCATGAGAGTGGGTGAGGTCTCCCACAGAGTTCTGTAGTCAGAACAGGAGGGTAAGGATGGAACCCTGGGAACCTAACTTTTAGGAGGCAGGCTTAAGAAGAGTCCACTAAGGAGACTAGGAAAGAAGTTCAAGGGCAGTATGAGGAGAGCCTAGGACAGGGGCCAAGATCACAGAGTTTCGAGGAGGAGGATATGATGCACAATGTTACTTCAGCAAAGGAATCTGGTAAGAAAAGAATTATAAAATGACCCATTTGATTTAGTGGCTGAGATATCATTGTGAATTTAGAAAAGAGTTGATAAACTAGTGTTTAAAAAGGCTTGAATGAGAACAGGGTGATGGCAGTTGGGTAAAAGCTTGAGGAGGACCTAGAATCAAAGGTGAGACTTTCAGGGTGGGACATTTTAGGGGAATGAATGGGAGACTAATAGGGGATATTTCTGGGAAAGAAAGGAAGGAATGGGGATCAGACACAGACACAGAAACAGAACAGAAAAGGCATCTCATCCCAGAAGCTAGAAGGAAGAAAGTATGGTTTTTATTTGGGGGTTGGGCGGTGGGAACCTTATGGGGAGCTGAGAAAGATCACATATAAGGGCCTCACTTGTTTTTGCAATAAACTAGGATGCCAGGTGGTTATGTGAGAGTGAGGTGTGTGAAGATTGAGTAGAGGGGTTAGGTTGAAGAGGGAGCTTAACCACCACAAAACAAAGGGGGCTAAAAAGCTGCTCATCCATTCCATCTCAGGGTATGTCATTGCCTCCAGAAAGCTTGATTGAGTGTGCCTGTCCTATGTTCCTGGAGCTATCTCTCTTGCCCTTATCACAGCATTTCTCAGCTGATTTCTCATACTTGCTTATAGTGCTCATTAAATTATGTTTGCTGCTAGACTCTGAAGGCAGGGAAGGTATCTTGTATTTCTCACCATCATACCCCCAGCACTTAGCACAGTCACTGATACATAGTAGGTGCTTAATAAATACATCTTGAATGAATGGTCTCAAAGCTAGTAAGGAGTGGAGCAGAAATTAGAACCCTAGTCTCTATGACTCCAAAGCTCAAGCTTTTCACCATGAGAAGGAATAGGGTACAGGAAGTAGGGGTGCTGGCAAGAGAGCAGTTTGGACGATCTACCATTAGCCCAGTTGAGATTGAATAACCTGCCGGGTGAACAGAGAAAATTGAAAGCAAGTGTAGATGACAGTGGGACTGACAGAAAGCTGGAAGGATGGGCAGTTGTGACCAAAGAGTGGGGTGTCTGAGGTAGAAGTAGAGGTTAAGCAATAACAAGATTCTGGAGGTGGCTCAGAGGAAAAGTATGAGCCAGGTTCAGAGGTCTCCAGTAAATGAGGAGGAGTGGCTAGGGGGTGACTGGGTAACAGTGGCTTATAGGGATATAGGTAGTTGCCCCTCAAAAGGAGATGAGGACACTGGGATCTGGAAGCAGCAGGAGCCGCCAACAGTCCTTCCTAGCCTTGTGACAGGGAGGAGTCAGGGGGAAGATAAGAAGTCTTGGGAGGCATCTAAGTTTTAGTGAGAGCTAGAAGTTGGACAAAGCATCCTGTAAAAATGGTGACAGTGTAGGAGAGTTGTTAACAAGGAAGTTAGTGTTCCAAAGCACCAAACAGAAAAGTCTGTCCCTGTTCTTCATCTCTGCGAATTGAGCAGGAACTTTGGGACTGGAGGGACTTGCTCTCATGTTGGCTGCTTAGGGAATAAGGACCACCTGAGGAAACTGGGTACAAGAATCTGTGGTGCCAGTGATTGCCCAGAAATGGTTTCTGAAGGATTGATCATCTCAGGTTAAAAACTAATTCTTCTCATTGGCTGATGGCTAATAGGTACAGGGTTCCTTTGGGGGGCAGTGGAAATGGTCTGGAATTATAGTGGTGATGGTTGCACAAGCTTGTGAATATACTAAAAACCACTGATGGAACACTTTAAAATGGTGGATTTTACAGTAAGTGAATTATATCTCAATAAAAATGTCTTAAAGCTAATTTATCTTTAAATCTTTTGTGTGCATGTGTGTGTTTGTGTGTGTGTGTGTGCCAGGTAGTACAGCTGGATGTGAGAGGCAACATGGTGAAACTTAATGATGGCTCTCAAATAACCTATGAGAAGTGCTTGATTGCAACAGGTGAGTATTTCTGGAGATGACTTTCTTCCCTGATATAGAGCTCATTCAAGTGTCAGTATAGAAGGTATCACTTTTTTAAAGTTTTTATTTATTTACTTATAGAGAAAGGGGAAGGGAGGGAGAGAAACATCAATGTGTGGTTGCCTCTCGTGCACCTCCAAACAGGGACCTGGCCCGCAACTGAGGCATGTGCCGTGACTGGGAATCAAACCAGCTACCCTTGACTCGCAGGCTGGTGCTCAATCCACTGGGCCACACCAGCCAGGGCAGTATCACTTAATTTTAAGAACACCAAAACCCAGACTCTCTGAAGTGGGCGTCTTTATCTTTGTACAAAGCCCAGCTACCTCCGGGCGTCCTATCAACAGCCCTTCTGGATTATCCTTGCTGTTCCTTCCCCCAAAAGCATGGATGGATATTAAGGGGGATTGTGTTTTTTCACTCTCCCTGCTTAACCCCTGCATGCTTCCCTGTGCCCTGAAACTGATATAGCCTTGTGGGTTCATTGCCGGTTCCAATCAGAAATCAAGAAAAGAGGCTGGAGCAGTTGTTAAACAAAGTAGCTATGCTATCTGGTGAGAAACTAGTGAAAGGGAGGGAAGCAGAAAGTGAGGCCTTGTGACCATCTGTGTGGAAGGTGGGGGAGCCCTTTGAAGAGATACTCTGAAATGTGCTTCTCAAAGGAAATTGACAAAAGCCTGCTGCAAGTTGCAGCAAAACAAAGCCTCCAATCCTGTTGCTTTAGCAGCAGTAGGAACACACGCACACCACAGCACCACCTTTATGGGGGGATGTTTTGGGCTAGCTCTTGCTTGTTGGGCTTAAGGCCTTTCCTCCTCTTATTTCCAGGAGGCACTCCAAGAACTCTGTCTGCCATTGATAGGGCTGGAGCAGAGGTGAAGAGTAGAACAACACTTTTCAGAAAGGTAATTGTCCGCTTTAGTGCTTTCGTTGTGTTGGTTTTGAAGAGGTAGCATAATCTTATGGTCCCCAAGTACCCACCTGGGAATTGGGAGATTCGAGTTATATTTATGGCTCTTCTGCAGACTGGTTATTTGGCCTTGAGCAAGTCACTTCCTCTCTCTGCACCTCAAATACCTCACTCAAGGGTTTTAAGCTCCTAGGAGAAAAATACATTTGGTATTTTCATTGCTTGCCATGGTTCCTTTGGATTGCCCTTCTATGTTATTTTTTCCTGATGCATTTGAGTCATTGGAACTCCTTATAGCCTCTTGGCATTTTTCATCGCAAGTTCTATAGTGGAGACTTTGGGGAGAAAAAGTAAGGGTACCTAAGTGAGGAAGGAAGGGGGGGGTTGCTTATCACTGTGCTGTGCTTATGAAAGCTGCCAAAATTTTCTAGCCACTGTTATGGGTATTTGAAAAGATTTGTACAATCCTTTAAGTTCTTGGCAGAACAAGGTTTGTCAGCCTCTGAACTACCAACATTTTGGGCTGAATGATTGCTGTGAGGGACTGTCCTGTGCTTTGTAGGATGTTTAGCAGTGTCTCTGAATTCTACCCACTAGCTGCAAGCAACACCTCCCCACGCCCAGTTGTGACAGCCCAAAATACCAAATGTCCCCTGGGGTGAAGGGGTAAAACCACCCCCAGTTGAAAACCACTTTTGCTAGGAGTATGACAGTGGAAAAAGAAATGTACATCAATAACATGGGCTGTCCCAAAATGTGACTTCTGTAGTTAAAGGACACTAATAAGCTGTGTGACCTTGAGCAAGTCACCTGTCCTCTCTGGGGTTCCCTTTTCTGACTATTCAGTTAAAATTGTGTTCTATCAAGCACTTAATATGGACACAGTTTTGTGTTAGGAGATGCTTTATTTATGTATCGTCTATTTTATCTCTCATTACAAAACTCAGCCGTTGCAGTTTATTTTCTTCATTTTATAGTAGATGTCACTGAAGCAGAGAAGGGCAAGTGGCTTGGTGAAGTGACCTGGGCAATAAATGGCTAAGTTGGATTTCAAACTCAGGCATTTCAGCTACAAAACCTATTTTCTGGAAACAAATGTTCCAGGCTTTACTTATATGAGAAGCCAGTGCCCCCCATAAAGCTATGTCATTCTTTGATATAAAAGGTATTAAAATAAAAACACTATTTTAATTCTTAAAAGTAACATATGAGCTACAATTGAACCACTTTATATAAGGAGATTGTACGTGCAAATTACTGTTGTCAAAGATTTTGCGGGAGATAGTTCCTGGTATTGTCATCCTGTGCCCCTTTGGGAAATCAATGGACTAAACTGGTGCGATCCTGCAGATTGGAGACTTTAGAACCTTAGAGAAGATTTCCCGGGAAGTCAAGTCAATTACGATTATTGGTGGAGGCTTCCTTGGTAGCGAACTGGCCTGTGCTCTTGGCAGAAAAGGTGAGTATTGGGGAGTGACCTTGATTCTTTCCCTCTGATCTGATATCATGTGCTTTGGGGGACCTCTCACAAACTCCAGAGATGCATTTGCTAGAATCAGTAGAAAAAGCTCGACTAAGGTTGGTATCGTAAGAAGCTAGTTCTGAGCTTAGTTCTGATGAGGGATCCTGTAGTGACTGCAAAGCTGCTATCCGAGCGACTGAACAGCAGTGTTTTCTTCCCTTTTCTCTAGCTTCCGGGCCCAGAGGCCTTAGAAATAAAAGAATAAGGAAAGTGAGTTATTAAGATGGTAAAGGCAGTGTAAACTACAGAAGTGTACACATCTTTGAACTGCTGCTCCCTGTAAAAGTCAAAGACTTCCTTCAGACGCATGATGGTTCCCAGTTTGACACATTTGTGAGTTCCGGTCTAAATGTTTCATGGCACCCATTTTCCCTAAGCTGTGTGAAATTGGGGCACCTTCTCAGGCGGGGGCTTACTATTCAGAGGTCCCACAGTACTTGTGTAAGCCTGAGGTGAGGCCCGAGTGCAAGTGCACTGAGGTCACGGTATGTCGTGCAAGCCAGGGACAACAGTTCTGGCACCTGTTGTACTGGCTATTGTGAATGCCCTCGTGCCCCAGTGCCCCACAAATGGGATTTCTCGCTTGGGTCAGAACATTGTCCTTGCCGTAGCAGATGGCTGCCTGCCTGCCGCTCCTTTACTTCTCTTCCTGTTTTAGGACTGGCTTTTGCCTCCAGCTATCCCTACTCTTTTTTTTTTCTTTTTTCTCAGCTCAAGCCTTAGGCACTGAAGTGATTCAGCTCTTTCCTGAAAAAGGAAATATGGGAAAGGTCCTCCCCGAATACCTCAGCAACTGGACCATGGAAAAAGTCAGACGAGGTAGAGAGACTCTTTCCATATGCTGCTGCTCTTTCCTCTGAGTTATGCCTAATGCCACGTTTACCTCTTTGGGAACCCTTTGGGATCCCCTTTGACATAAGCGATATCACCCAGTAGTTGAAATGTTTCCACCATTCTCCAGCCAGCTAAGTTCACATAGGTGTTGTGAATCTTAGATACCACACTCCTAGAAGTGCTGAAGATGAACTGCAGGCATAGGTTCTTGCGGTTCCCCAAGGTTGCCTGCATACGTGCGATTACCAGTTTTCAGATGGGGTGCCTCTAGCCTGCTTTCCTACTTTTCACGAAGGTGGTGCACTCACAGGCTCAGCCTCAGGTCTTGTTTGCCTTCACAGAGGGGGTTAAGGTGCTGCCCAACGCTATTGTGCAATCAGTTGGAGTCAGCGGTGGCAAGTTACTCATCAAGCTGAAAGATGGCCGGAAGGTAAGGAGGCGGGGAAAGGCTGCCAGATGACCTTCTAGCCCTCCCCTCCCCCTTCTTCATTCTTACTTGTTCATTTGATACCAGTAGATTAGTTTTCTTGGCAGCCACCATTAACCTGTCATGATTTTCTGAATGAACTGTCCCTGCATTAAAATAAGAATGATGAGAGCCAGAGTGGACACCTGTGACCCACTTTTCTGTCTCCCTTTCCCATCTTATCACAGATTTTTGGGATGACTAAGATGACAGATTTATCTTCAGATGATATGAGCTATGAGTGTGTGGAACAGGAAACTTTACCAGAGGTCAATGAACCAATGATTTTTTTTTAAATAAAGCCCCATTCTTAATGGCACCAGTTGCTATGTCCATGGGCATACAGGGAAACTGTGGTGATTGACTGAATTATTTCTTTTTTTTCTTCAGGTAGAAACTGACCACATAGTGGCAGCCGTGGGCCTGGAGCCCAATGTTGAATTAGCCAAGACTGGTGGACTAGAGATAGATTCAGATTTTGGTGGCTTCCGGGTAAATGCAGAGCTCCAAGCACGCTCTAACATCTGGGTGGTAAGTATTCTACAGCAAGATCAAGCATGGCTCCTGGTCCCCAGCTTAAGAGCAAGCCTATCCAGTGTGGTGCTAAAGTTCATTAGTAGCTTACTGTGATATAGTCAGAATGTTTGGAAGCCATGGGTAGAGAAGAGGTACTTATGAACTGCTTGACTTACAAGATCAGGTATGGTCTCACACTGCAAGCTAGTGGAAAAGGAAATGAACAGTGTGCATGGCCTACAGAACTAGAGCTCTTCCAGTGCTGCTGTTGGCGGCAGCTGTCGGCATGAGCCTGGTAGGCGTGAACACAGCTTTCAGACACATCTGTTGTTCCTTCTGCCTGAACGTGAGTCCAGGGATTAGAGGATGAGGCAATTTTATGACATTCTCTAGAAAAGAAAGTTATTCCATTTTCATTTTCCTTGAGAACTATTTTTAGCTGTTTTAAACAATCTGATGTGACACAAACAAGACTATATAGTATGTAGGAACCATGAGGTACTTTCCCAATTGTTAGAGCATTACAAGTGTATTGTGTTTGATTGTGGACTCTATGGCTAAGGACAAAGAAACTTTGAAGGGTGTTTGCCCTTAAAGCTTTTTTTTTAAATGTAAAATGTACTAGATTTAAAAAAACTTATGAAAGAAAAACATGCTCAATATGGTAGACAGACAAGAAGGAGAAAGGGAGAAATCACCTAGAAATCACCTGCAGCAACCACTGGCTTTTTTGGTATATTTCGTTCCCTTCATTTTATTGTGCATAGATTTTTTTCTTTTGTTGTAGACAGTCACGGCAAGCATACTATGTATGAATATTTATATTCTTTTCTTTTTCACTTAACATTATAATGTATTTTCCACATTGCTTCAGATTGTCGAAATAGTTTAATGACTGTATACTATTCCATTAAGTGGATTTCATAGTTTATTTCACTATTGCTCATGTGTTGAATTTTTAGGGAAGTCTTTGGGGGAATCTGAATAGCCACAAAGATGGGCAAAGGGTTGGAGAGCTCATATACCACCTCCTTCACAACAGTGGCCTCATTGACCTCCAGCTGTGGGTTCTCTCTCTTTGAAACACTGAGCTCACTTAATTTGTACCTCTCAGATGGCACATTTCTTGTTTGCACTGCACTGCAGTGAGGAGCAATGCTGCGCCTTCCTGGGCTACGTTATATACTCTTTCAGGCGAGCAACCCAGACAGTATAATGCTTTGTATAGTATAAGTATTCTCTCTATATATTTGTTGAATGAATGAATACTGAATAACAAAAAAAAATCTTATCTTGGAAAAGAGTTCTAGATAAGAGGCATTCACATCTAAAAACTGTTTCCGCACATAGGAAAGAATATTGTGCAAATAATGGTTATTAAATATCCTGTCTATGTTAAGGGCAAAGTGAGAAGAAATAATTATGAGCTAGAGCATAGGAGATTTAGGTTAGCTTTGTGGAAGCATAGAATAGTTTTGTTTTTTGTTTTTTAATGGAATCTCAACTATTTTTGATAGTGTATATATGATTCTGGCCTGTAGACAGAAAACATTAATAAGTTGACATCACAAGTGTTTTTGAGCCTAAAAAGTTTATGTTCTGTCTTTAACTTGCTTTTTTTATCACGTGCTCATGTACTGTATATGTCTCCACAGGCAGGAGATGCCGCATGCTTCTATGACATAAAATTGGGTAGGAGGCGGGTAGAGCACCATGATCATGCTGTTGTGAGTGGAAGGTTGGCTGGAGAAAATATGACTGGAGCTGCTAAGCCATACTGGCATCAGTCAATGTTCTGGTAATAGTTTTGTGCCTTGCGGACTGAACTGGTTTGAACACAGAATTAATGGAACCAGAGTTATGATTTGGTTTCCTCGTGGGTCCATTCATTTTATATGAGGGTGGGATTCCAACTCATGTCCACACATTCTACCCCAAAGCGGCCATCTGGTAAAAGGGCCCCAATTCGACATAACGTAGACTAGCTGAATGAATGGAGAGGGCATCAGCACTTCTGTTAACATAGCTCAGAGTTCAAACTATAGTAGGGGTACAGAAGTGTGCTCTTAGGTAGAGATAGCAGTGTATTTTAATTTGTTCTTTGCTGCTAACCCTAATGAGCCTTACATGCTGACAAAGAAAAAAAAGGTAGCCCACTCATTTGTAACCCTTAAGATCAAGAGTTCAAAGTAAGGCATATACAGGCAGTTCTCCAGATAGCAAAATGTTAGCAGCAGACATTCCTGAGTACTGGGGCTGGCCCCTGTTTGCCACATTCTCATCTTGTTGATTTGAAAGATGGGGTACATAAAAATCCTGAAGGTTTCAAAAACCTCTAAGGAAAAATCTCAGCTGATGAGAATACATTTTAGGATGATCACACACAGTTTTATGAGTGGGCAGCAAAAACATAGGAGATGGATTCCAGGGTCAATACATATAAGCTAATTCAGTTAGGAAAAGAGTAGTCCACAGCTATGCGATTATCAGCTAGGTCTCAGGAACAGAAAGCAAGAAGTTATTCCAGACTGTTCCTTGAAGACACCAGTCCATTGTGCTTCTGTGGCCAAGAAGATAACAAAATGCAGAGCACCAGAAACAAAACAGCTCAAGTACCCTAGATGATTACAAAACCATAGTGTGTGTGTGTACTGTAAATATTCTGTGAAGTTCCTAGCATGTTAAGAACAGATTATGATGATGATGATAGGGAAATTTTCCAAGAAGAGTTAAAATAAAATGACCAAGTGGGTGAAGGTACCTCTTTATAGAAAGCATTCTGACCTTGAAAAATGGAGGCTAAGAGGAAATACTGTCAGTTAATGAAACCATAAAATGTCTCAAATTCTGAATTCCATAAATATGGATCACCCTTTAAAGCTTCTAAAAGGCAGTTTTAGGACAAGTTAAAGGAAGGTTGTGAATAGTAAATGTGGGGAACCCATCACTCCCCAAATGTGGTATGGGATAAAAACATGACTAAATTGAAGAATGTAGAACATTGTATGGATATGTGATATTTATAATGGCTTTTTATGTAAAATAAAAGTTGCTTAGAAGAATCATACTTTCTCACAATTATTCCCAAGTGCCCTAGGAGGAGACAGAACAATTTGGTGTTTGTCTTGTTGTTGCTCATAAAGTTCTTTGGGTAGCATAAAAGTGCAGAGTCTTAGAAAAGTATCCTACTGTGTCATTCTTTACAGTCCCATGACAGAACGCCCTCTTCTCTCTCCTTCCTTAGGAGTGATTTGGGCCCTGAAGTTGGCTATGAAGCTATTGGTCTCGTGGATAGTAGTTTGCCCACAGTTGGGGTTTTTGCAAAAGCCTCTGCAGAAGACAACCCAAGATCTGCCACAGAGCAGTCAGGTAAGGAAGGCCGACCACTTCCCTTGGAAGAGTGTTAAGGAGCTGTGGTCCACATTCTCCTGATCAAGGGCTTTCTGTATTGGCCAGGAAGGACTGTTAGTGAAAGTCTCTCTTCATGTGTGCTTTAAAATAAACCAAACCTGCCCTGGCTGGTGTAGCTCAGTGGATTGAGTGGGATCCTGTGAACCAAAGGGTCACCGGTTCGATTCCCAGTCAGGGCACATGCCTGGGTTGTGGACCAGGTCCCCATTTGGGAGTGCATGAGAGGCAACCACACATGGATGTTTCTCTCCCTCTCTTTCTCCCTCCCTTCCCCTCTCTCGAAAAATAAGTAATCTTTAAAAAAGTAAAATAAACCAAAACCCAAAGTCCCACTCTTTTATGGTCTGACAGCTGGCAAAATCAGGTATCCTGGTCAAAGCAGAGGCACAGATATTGTAGGTCTCCATCCCAGACTGTGGACAGTGGCTAACTCAGCTGATCTGCTGTTTAGTTTGTCTCTAGGGAATAGGAAGACCAACATGATAAAGGAAACCTAGACTTGTTAGATGTTTTTTGTTTCACTTTTGTTTTGCTTTTTTTTTCTTCTTCCTGCTAATCCTAAAAACTAAGCCTGAGAGCTTTAGTTTAGAACCTGCTATCCTTCAGGGGCCCTGGGCAGTGAAGAAGTGGGCTGAGTAAATCCTGAGCTACCTCTAATTCCATTTATTAGATCTTAATGCCAGATTTTCTTTAGATGGGAGGCACCTCTCTCAGAATGAATTTCTCTCCCACACACATCTTTCATTAACTCCTAGGCCTGTTCTCTCTCCCTTCTATGACCTTGGCTGAAGTTATTTAACCCCCATGTCCTCTTGTCAGAAGTATTTCAAAGACAAGTTGCTCTTTAGGAAGGAGAAAACAAGACATTACATGGATATTTAGGTCCTTTTTCTGTGTAATCCAAGTTGATCACATCACCTCCTCCTTAGTTCTGACCTCTCCTGGGAAGTGGACCCAGGAGAGGGACCTAAGGACTTGGAAACTCCAGGTCACTCCTCTGTCTACTGAACAGCATTACTTGGAACTTGGTCATTCTCAGAAGATAAGATGCCCCTTCCCCATGCGGCCTTCTGTCCCCACCCTCACCAGGAGGAAACAGCTCCACTGTGGTTTTCCACATAGAAATGCCTTCTCCTGCTTGGCCAGAGTGTCTCTATGGTAGCACTGTACAATAGAACTTTCCACTGTGGTAGCATTGTTCTATCTCTGCTCTGTCCAATACATTAGCCACTAGCCACATGTCGCTATTTAGCACTTGAATTGTGGCTAGTATAAATGAGGAACCGGATTTTATGTTTCACCTAATTAAAGTATTTTAACATTTAATTAATTTAACTATACTAGTTATTTGTGGCTAGTGGCCACTGTAATGAACCATGTAACTCTAGAATGTTTCTCAGAGGGCAGGAGCAAGTCTTTTGCCATTTGAAGAAATCTGGATACCAGGAAATATCCAGAGCATAAATTTAAAATGTGATACTAAGGGAGGGAAGTTTTGAGTCAGACTGATGCAGTGCCCACGAGCAGGCAAGGAAGAGCTTTCGTTGCCTTTGACAATGAAGAGGGGTTGAATAAGGCCAGTTTTCACTGAGAGAGGATAGGAAAACAAACCACCTAGAAGCAGCTTAAAGTGGGTATCGAAAAACACTTTCCTTCTAGAATTTTCTAAGCTCATAATAACTGACTTTGTTTTGTTTTGGGGATTGGCCACAGGGACTGGTATCCGATCAGAGAGTGAGACAGAGTTGGAGGCCTCAGAAATCACCATTCCTCCCAGCAACTCCGCAGTGCCCCAGGCGCCTGAGGACGGGGAGGACTACGGCAAAGGTGTCATCTTCTACCTCAGGGACAAAGTGGTAGTGGGAATTGTGCTGTGGAACATCTTCAACCGAATGCCGATAGCAAGGAAGGTAAGTGCCTGTCAGAGCTCTTAGAGGAAGATGGAAGGAGCAGGCCAAAAATATGTTCTTGTGATTTCATTCTTCATCAGGTACCCTGGTCAGGTATAATTTGACCAGACACCCAGGTCAAATTGCACCTGAGCAGAACAAAGACATAGCCTTGGCTCAGTAATGTTTCTCTTTCACTCGGGATCTGGCTGGGTGGCCTGGGTGGGAGTTGGCACATGCTCGTTTGGGGTTAGTAGCAAACTGTTCCCACAACTGCCTCCCATTGTGCCTCAGGCTGCCCCATTGTTCAGTGCAGCCAGAATGCAGGTGGACTGTTAGTGACCCACTGTTCCTCTCTCCCTCAGATCATTAAGGATGGTGAGCAACATGAAGATCTCAATGAAGTAGCCAAACTATTCAACATTCATGAAGACTGAAACCCCCCAGTGGACTAGGCAAGCAATTTGCTGTCCCTGACAGCAGTGTGGATGATTAAAGGAGCATTTTTTATTCAGCAGAGTTCCTCTGTGTGTATGAGTGTGAATGGTCATGTCCTTTGTGAACATTTCAACGATGTAGGCAAATTCTTAATGTTTACATCATTAAATAAAATCTGATTCTTCTAAATTAAATTCTGCTCTCTTTGAAAGGGAGCGGGTGGATGAAGGGAGAAAAGCTGTGCATATCAGAGAGCAAGCAAATTGGAGCTACTACCAAGCGCATGATTGTTCTCAGCCTAGTATTCCCTGTTCCACACTCCAAACTCCTTTCACTTCCCCAAACTTCTGTCTCGCCCCTGTGGACCCCTCTATGTGCACCAGCTGTGGCCTCTGCTCACAGTGCTTGACCCCTTCCCCCTCCTGTGGGGCAGGTCCTGGTCTCTATGAAGACTTTCCTGACCCTTCCAAGCCTGTTTCTTGCTTATGTCTCCCTGCTGGTCTGTGGCTTCCTAGAAGACGGAATCATGGCTTTAATATCTTGATCTTGGTTATATCTCCAGAGTTTAGCATAGAGTCCGTCTCACAGTAGGTGCTTAGTAAAGTACCTAATTATTCATTGTTGAATAAGTAAACATGTAAGCATATGGAATAGACTCTGCTTTACCTGGAACACCACCGTATGTGCCACCACCCACCCCCAACCCCCATCCCAGAACTGAATAGGTTCTGGGGTGGCGGGTAGGCAGAAAGGACATTTATGCAATCAGAGACAAGGGTTCGGAGATCTGGTACTTTGTGGTTAAACCAGCAGACTGACTCCTTGAGGAGTCATGATCTCTTGACCCCAATACCCACTGTCTCCCAAACTACAAATCTGCTCTCTCCCAACCCCTTTTTATCTAAGATAGGGCTTATGGGCATTCTTCACTTTATAGATGATTTCCTGGAAATAGAAGTGAGAGTTTCATAAGTCAACTCATGCTTTTTTTGCATTTCAAACTACTTGAACTTCTAAAAATCAAATCTTACTTCAATTAAGAGGAAATTTTTAGTACTTTCAGAAGTCCAATTGTGAATCATTTTGTAAAGAGAAAATTATGGCCAGTAGATTTTTTTTAAATATTGAATTTGTTTAAAGAGAGTTAGGGCTACAATGAAATCCCTTTTGAACACTAGAACGGACCAATGTCAACTTTACAAATGAATTGTACTAGAACAATTGACACTGTGTGTGTGTGTATATATATATATACACACACACACACACATACATACATACATACACAGTTTTGGTGAAATATAACCTGACATGTGACATATCCAAATCTATAAGTAGAAAACTCATCTAGTCTCCTGTGAGATAGGATTCATTATGCAGTCATGATTGTTGCTTGCAAAGGTGGTGGTAAGATACTGAAGTGTTTCAAAAATCATTTCACAAAAGATCAAATTGTAATTTATCTTGTTTTAGCATTATGTGTAATTTAGTTTAATTCTTTGATGGTTGTGATCCTTGTATGGAATGTCATTGTAATTCAGTTAATTAAAATGAAATAATCTATTTCTCTAATCAGTATTCATTGAGTGCCTATTATGAACCAGGTGGATGTCAGAAAAAGAAGATAGAGACAACATGGCTACTTGTCTTAAGAAACTTCTAGCGTCCGTGAGGAAGGCAAACGTGTGCATGCAGAAGTATGATATAGTGAGATGCGTCCATAGAAAGACATACAAAGTACTATGTACACACCAAAAATAGAGATCAACCAAAGCACTGGTCGACCTTAGTCGACCACACCCCCCTTGTTGAAGAACACAGTGACTCCCTGTCACCAATCACATCAAGTCCAAAGGCTTCCACAGTGCTCCTGATCTCAGCCTGCTCTGCCCTCCCTGCCCAGTCTCCTTTCCCATGACTCCGCACAGATGCAAGTGTATGCATCTAGTTTATTGCCCCTTTTAAACTTTTGTTCATGCTCTTCACATCTGAACACCATCCCTAATCCCTTTTTAAAGATTATTTATTTATTTTTAGAGCGAGGGGAAAGGAGGAAGGAAGAGGGAAAGAGACATTGATCACTTGCCTGTCACGCCCTCAACTAGGGACCTGACCATCAACCCAGGCATGTGCCCTGACTAGGAATTAAACTGGCAACCTTTTGGGCCACAGGTCAGCACTCAATTCACTGAGCCACACCAGCCAGGGTCCTATGCCCTTTTACCTATCTAAATACTGCTCATTTTCAAGGCCCAAATGAAATCCCACCTTGGTAACATGGTACCACTTGGACTAGTGCCCGTGAATGATTTAATCTCTGAACTCCAATTGCACTTACTGCCTTTGAACTTAATTGTTCTTTAAGTCATTCTTTGCATTATTAGTGCTCATTGCCTGAATTGATTGTAAGCCCTCCCAGAGCAGAGACTTTTTGTCTCAGGATGGGGACAATGTGCCCCAACCCCCAAGACACCAGCAAAAGGCTGAGCAACTGCTTGGTTGCTTGTTTGGATGATGCTAGATAACAGGGCTCACTGTCCAAGTGAGCCTCTGCCTTGCAACCTCTGTTCTCTATAATCCAGGTTATGAGACCCCCATCACTTCACCCACTGCTGTGACTTGCCACTTAAACCAAGGATCACAGGGACTGATTTCTGACTGTACAGATGAGCAGTGCCAGTTGAGGTTTGGCCCTCGATAGCCAGCCTGTCATTAGTTGGGCCACAGCACAGTGCGGAACAGGGCTAGTCACACCCTGCAAAGAAGAGTTGGGGCTCTGCCAAAATATCAAACATTTGGAACCCACCTACTTCACTTCAACCTCACATTTCTTTGCTGCTTTCCAAATGCTATCCTATGGCACTATGGCACCTCTTCATGATGGTACTGGCCTTTGCCTGGCCACCTGTAAGGCACAGCAGGAGATGGTTTCATGTTAGCTTGAGACAGGGACCTGAGGGAAGGAAGTGTGTTTGATTGGAAAGAGGTCAGAGTAAGCCTCTTAGTGGAGGATGAGGTCAACATATGTGAGTTTGTTGTTGTTTTAATTAGCAGGATCTGTTTTGGAGACAAGAAACTAAAGCAGAAAAGGATGGGGGTGGAGAATCCACAGTGACCTACTGCAGGCTGCTTCCTTGAAGGAAAATCAGCCCCTCTAGAGACCCATTTATACAAAGGAACCCTCCCCTCCCTTCCACCACTACCCCTTCCCTTTCCCGCTTCTCTCGAGTTTGGCTGTGGTGATATCCCCTGTCCTTCCCTGACTCCACCTAAAGCTGGGCACCCTTGTTGCCCTAGAGATCATTAGGACTCAATCCCAGTGCCTTGCTCTCTGAGGAGAGGGGAAGTTATGCTGGGCCCGGAGGTGAAGCAGGACTGCCTCTGGCCTCTTTCCCATCTTATCAGGGAATTTCTGGCAGGCACAGGCACATGTACACAAAACCACACACAGAGACACACAGCCCAAGCCAGTTATGACGTTCCCCTGCCTGGCTGGTTCTACAGATGTGTGTGACTAGGTCAGAGTACAGGGAGGGTCTAAATATTTAGATACTGAACTGCCAGGCCGTGGTAGGAAAACAGAGATCATCTCCAGATGAACATTTGCAAAAGAGAAACACGGCCCCTGACATCCAGAAGCTGACCTGGGACTGTCAGCTAGGCCTTGGTGTTGCTACAAACTGGCCTGGCACTCACTGCTAGGCCTGGGTGTTCTGCTGAGCATAAACAGATTCATGACATTACCATCGTACAAGGCTGCTCTGACCATAGTGGACCTAGACAAAAACAAGAGTACTCCATAATCATGTGTAAACATAGACAAAAGCATGAACATCGCCCAAACCACAGAAATGATCAAATGCACTCACCCCTTTCCTGACTAATCTGAGGGACTGCATGCTTCTTTACCAGTGACAGCATTAGCTTCACTCTAGTCTGTCCTCCTAATGGATCAGATTTGTTTAATAAGATACTCAATCATTGAATTTCCATGCTTCCTGACAGCATCCAATCCAGAACAAAGCCCAGCTTCCTTAAACCCTCCTGAAATCACCCAGGCCAGCTCAAATCCTATTAAGTTCTTTCTAGCACCCTCTCCCTGAGATACCCTATGGTTCCCCATGGTGTGCATTACACCTCGCTGCAGTGAGCATAAACCCAACTTATTCAACCATAGGAGCATCCCGGTAGTAGTCTCTGGCTAATGGGCGTTGACAATTGCGACAGAGAGCCAAAGTATCTTCCGGAGGCCCAGTTCCAGGCAGAGACCCCTGTGAATCATGTCTAGTTCTGTACCTTCCTGATGAGTTTATCTAGTCTCAGGAGAGTCTGCAAGGTCTGTGTCTTAGTTGGGGAAAGGACAAGGGTCATGTCTAGGACAGAGGTGCCTGGCTTCCCTGGCAGGTTCCCACATACGATGTCTTGTCATTTGCAGTACAACACAGATGCTTCTGGAGGAGCACCTAATATGGGTGTTGAATTTCTGAAAGCATACATACATTAATAACTGTATTTGATGGACAGCTCGCAAACATTTATTGTGCAGCTACTGCATACCATGGTACAATAGTCCCTGGAGATAAGAAGATGAGTCATATAGTTCCTGCTCTAGTAGCTTTGTAACCTAGTAATGGACACAGGTCAGGGGAACTATCAGTGCAACATAAGTGCTGGGAGTATGGTGTGTGAGTTCAGATTGGAACTTCTTCACTCCTCAGATTACTTATGGCTCTGCATCTATCTAGTCTAGGCTTTTCATTCACCAGCCAAACTATGGTTCTTCTTCCATTCTGCAGTTGTATCTTCTCTTTCATTTCTAGGGATAGAACATGAATATGTTCACTATGCTTAAATGAATGTTAATATGCTTAATACAGAGCTGACATTCAAAGAGATTATACCCCTTTCTCTTCAATTTTCCTAAACTCTTTCATTTTCTCTTCTTCTCAGAATCTCTGAAGGTCCCCCTCTCTGTTTACCTTCTCCCTGTGTTTCTTCCTCAGGTTCCAGTAAGTGCTCCCTGCCCACATGTTTTTTTTCCAGAGAGGAACACTTCTGAATTTGAGTCTCACTTCTACCATTCACTCCTGGAGGACCTAGACAGCCACTTTCCTAAGTCCCAGCAGCCTCATCTGTAAAATGAGGGAAACATATTAGATCCTCTCTCCACCATCAGTTCTAACCTCCTGTGTAT